CAACATACCTCAATATCTTTGCTCTCCGTTAGTGTCCCTATGAAGCCAGCTAGGGCCTCCCACGTGTGGAGATCCGGATTCAATATCATCAAATTGAGGACATTCCGAACGTAATCCTTCCAGTCTCCATTTTTGCCCTTACACTGACACCGTTGAGTCTCCTTCACCAGCGAGGTAAGCAGCTGTACATCACAGACAATTCACAGACAATTCAGGGAAAATTCAGGCAAATTCAGGGAAAATTCAGGGAAATTTCATCAAATTCAAAGACGATTTCATAGACAAAAATTCACGGACAGATTCATAATAGAGAAGTCACAAACGCTTCACAGAACAATTCAAGCAGAATAGAGAGTATTAGAGACAATTCAGGGAGAGACAATGGACACACAGACAATCTCTCTCGAGGAGAATGCAGAGCTCCACAAACGATTAACAGCTCGCAAGATCACTTTCGCAGAGAATTCAGAGAGAATTCGCAGAGAAATGAGGGATGGTTGGCGTATCGGTACATATATTGTCACAAATCTAAGAACCAGAAGAGCGCATATATATCGTCAAACAGAGCTGCCAACGGTAAACCGTAGTCAGAGAGGGAGAAGAGGACAAGAGGACAAGAAACGAGGGATTGTGACAAACTGTTTCGTCGGAGTTTCACCGACTCATCAGGAGGTCGTCAAACAGTCTATATACATAGATATTTATATGGGAGATCACAGAACTCGATCAGAGGGGACAAACACAAATTGACAGAATAGGATAACATACTGATAAAGGATGAAGAGCACAAACGGAAGAGTACATAGTTACAGAGTCTAAGACTCTCCTGCGCTGGCACTATGCACATTGTACTATCTACTATGCACAGATGAATAATTCTCTATAGTTCAGACTCTGTAATTGTCCTACCCCAGGAATATGTACATAGTACTATCTACTACATAGTACATAGTATAGAAACGTGTGTATATATATTGTCACAAGTCATCAGTGCGCAAAAGCGAAAACAAAACAGAAAGAAAACAAGGAAAAAATGAATTCATTTTTTTTATCTTCTTCCTTACAACTCCCCCTGTTCAGGACCTCTTGCGTACAAGGCCGCCCACGTGGATGTAGGTTGAGCGGCGGCTGCCCCCACCCCCGTTGGTCGATATTATATATTGTCACACTGTAAATCAGAGCGCAAAGGCGGAAAAAGACAAAACAAGAAAAGGAAAAGAAGGAAGGAAAGCCCCACCTGTTCATCACCTCTTACGTACAAGGCCAGCCACGTGGATGACAGGTTGAGCGCTGGCTGCCCCCATCCCCGTGTGTCACAAGGACCCACTTGCACGCAGCCAAAAGGCAAAGAGGTAAAGAAAGCGGAGGAGGAAACCAAACCTCACAGGGAAAGAAAGATAATCTGATTGCCACAAAGCAAATAACACATCCCACAGATCAACGTACTTTTATTTTTTTCTTGTTTTCTTTTTTTCTTTTTTCTTTTTTCTTTTTTCGGCAATTTGTACTTTTTCTCATTTTTTTCCCTTCTTCTTTCTTTAACTCCGTATCTGTCGGTAGTGTCGAAGGCTTTATCTGTCCCCACCTCGGCAGATAGGACAGCGACGGTGAGGATGATGTGGATGTTCACAAGGATACCCAAGGAGAGCTGCGCCAGCACAGCATTCATCAGGAGGGCTAGCACGAACCATCCCATCAAAACAGTCCTGACAGAGGACATGCTGTCCACATGTAAAAAAAAACGGCAGGACGTTCATCACAGTGCGGCATCATGCAGTTCTGATAGCGTCCTTGGGCACAAAAGGGACAACGTATATCTGAGTGATAGGGATGTGTACAATGACGAATTATGTTGGACACCATTCAGTACAGACGCAATAGATTGATAATGGCTACGGCACAGATTATGCATTTCACAGCCAAGGCGCACTGCCTCTCTGTCCCGACAGGTGTCACACGAGAGTCGGTCAATAATCCAGAATAAAGTATGATTCGGCAATGCACCCAAAAATTCATTTACGTCGAAAATAGCCTGCCTGACTCATCGTCCCACCATCCCACAACAGTTCCCACTTTGCAGCTGCACGAATGAGTGTCATACAATGCCCGTTAAGGTCTGTATAAAATACAGGCAGAAATATGAGGATGGCCATTAAGGTCATCATCGCCTGGTGTCGCATGATGTCGAAAATAGCCCATTGTACCACCATCCCATAACAGTTCCCACTGGGCAGCTGCACGAACGAGTGCCATATAATGCCCAGGTCAACGATTAGTAGCTGATCTGAGGGGATGATCAGCCACACTGGGACTGAGACACGGCCCAGACTCCTACGGGAGGCAGCAGTGGGGAATTTTCCGCAATGGGCGAAAGCCTGACGGAGCAATCCCGCGTGGAGGATTAAGGCCATCATCGCCTGGCGTCGCATGATGCATAAGAAGAAGGTGGCGACCGTGGAACGCTAACTGTAAGACATTTTTACAGTAAAGCCTCCTGAGAGGTAGGGTATAGTTACTCCCTACTCTCAGGAGGTGGACCATTATGGTCATACAACAACTGATTTTCAACAGCGTCAAGCTGATAAGCAATCGTAACAAAATGGGATGCAGTATAACATCGACGCTGATAAGCCATTGAGGTAGGCAGACATTTGTGGCTGTCAAGCCACAAGCATTTGGTAGGTTGGTAGGGGTCTGCCCGCAGATCCGAATAAGTCACCACTGGAAAGCCAGATCCAGATCTGATCTGGCGGGTCGGCGCGTAAACGACGAAACGAAAGCCGTCGACGTGGCAGAGCAGGCTGTAGGTAAGACAAAGAACCCCACAGATTAGCATCAACACGACGTCGAGAGGAAGGGGGGGGACTGGGAGGAGGAGAGAATGAACGCAGCCTGCTGACGAGAGGAAGGGGGACTGGGAGGACGAGAGAATGAACGAGCGTGCCGACGTCTATCGTCAAACAGAATACATACTATGTGTGTACATATCATGACAACGAGAAGCACCGGCAGAGATGCCAGGACACCTTTTTTTTTTTCCCTACGGCTAATCAACCGGTCATCCTGCCAGCCACAAGAAGAGATTAAAAAAAAAGATACACAGCGAACGAGAAATAGGAGGAGGAGGAGGAGGACGAGTAGGACGAAGAGCAAGACGAAAAGGGAAAAAAGTACGAGGAAGAAAAGGAGAAGGAGAAACGAGAAGAACAGCGAAAAAATGGTTAAAAAAAAAAAGGAAGAAGAAGAAGAGGAAGAAGAAGAAGAAGAAGAAGAAGAAGAAGAAAAACAGTGCGAGGACGACGAAAAGAGCATGAAGATGGTGAAGGAGGAGAATCTAGAAAGAGAAGTGAGAGAAGGACGAACGGATTTTGGAACAAAAAGATGGTGAGGTAGAGAAATGGTGGAGGACATTGATAGGGAGAAAGCATAGATCGGACAGAAGTAGATGGAAACGGGACAAACACGAGAGGAGGGAAAAAGAAGGCGAGGGAGACGAGGAAGAAACGAGAAGGGAGAAGAGAGAGAAGAGGGAGAAGGGAGAACAGGGAGAACGGAGAGAAGAGGGAGAAGGAGAAGAGGGAGAAGAGGGAGAAGAAGGAGAAGAGGGAGAAGAGGGAGAAGAGGGAGCATATAGCATGCAAGTTTATACAATTAGTTGAATTGATTTTGAATCATCAATAAATCAAAAATTTCTTTGATTTCATAATAATGCCAACAAAAAAAAATTCAACCGATAGAATCTAATCTGAATCTAGAATAGATACAAAATAGTATGTACATACTTACAGTACTTTATTGTGAGAAGAGGGAGAAGAGGGAGAAGAGGGAGAAGAGGGAGAAGATGGAAACATCACCACTTGCCATTACTATTATCAATATCATCAACCTTCTTCTCCTCCTCCTCCTCCTCCTACCTCTCGCCATCATCATCAATATCATAAGCCTTCTTCTTCTTCTTCTCTCTTCTCCTCCTCCTCCCCCCATATCATCCTCGCTACCCACATCATTACCATAAACAGCCTTCTTCTTCTTCTCCTCCTCCTCCTTCCCCTCGCTACCTACCTCACTAGCCTAAACACCCTTTCTTCATATCATCCTTCTTCCCCTCGCTAACCACATCACTAGCACAAACAGCCTTCTTGTTCTCCTCATCCTCCTCCTTCCCGTCCCTACCCACACCACTACCATCAACAGCCTTCTTCGTCCTCGTCTTCTTCTTCTTCCTTCTCCTCCTACCCCTTCATCTTCTCTGATCTTCTTCTTCCCTTTTACCTCTCACTCCTCCCGCTCCTCCTTCTCCTCTTCCTCCTCCTCCTCTTTTACCTCTCCCACTCCACCCACTCCCCCTCCTCCTCCTCCTCCCCCCCCTTCTTCTTCTTCTTCTTCTTCTTCTTCTTCTTCTTCTTTCAGTTCATTGATAATGATGATCATGAGGACGAGGGAGGAAAGACGACAGATGTCGTCATTATCATAATGCACATCATACCAACATCATCTCGAACGTCACCATTATCAATGCCAGTATATTTTCTCCTCCTCCTCCTCCTCCTCCTCCCTCTCCCTTTTCACTATCATCACCTCTTTCTGCGCTCCTGCTATTCTTCTTCTTCACTGCTCTCTACTTCTCGCCGTCCGTCCACTCTTCCATTCCTTCATTTTCTCCTTTTTTTTCTGTCAGCCCCCCCCTCCTTCCCTCCATGACACGAAAGACGAAACGCTTGATATGACTCGTCAACGCTAACGCGGCCACATCCGCTATAACTGTTCAGTTAATTCCTCATGTGCCGTGATGTGAGACGGCAAGCGAAAATAATTTTCAATCGATCAATGAGGTAAGTAGCACTTTTTTTCTCAAGATGACAATCAATGCTGTCATTTTCTTTTGCCTTCCACTTATCTGCTGTTGTTTAATCATCTTTCCATTTTTGGACAGACAAACTCAGCATCGCTGTTCCTAAAGGTAATTTCAAATGGACACGTTTCTATTCACTGCTGCGGTTTTGGTTTTGGTTTTTCTCTTTCTTCTCATTGGTGAAGACAGAACTCAGACCTTTGCCGAAATGCCTTGTCCGAAATCGACTTCACTGCAGTAAACCTTGAGAACGGCCTCTCTCTCTCTCTCTCTCTCTCTCTCTCTCTCTCTCTCTCTCTCTCTCTCTCTCTCTCTCTCTCTCTCTCTCTCTCATACATACACCATCCCTCCTCCAAATATACACAGCACACGCTTCTCTCT